ATTGAATATAGTGTAACTTGTATATCCCTAAGTCATACTAGGAACTTGTTATATTATCTTACATAGTAATGTGTGATTCACTCCTTTCTAATATTGTCTCTTTATTTGAAAAAAAAATAAAAATTGGCAATAAAAACTATCGATTGATATAATCTCACTATTCTTGATTTGAGAAATATATAATATTTAATTTATCTCAATCACTGGATGAACAATCCCAGGAAGATTTGATCTGATCTCTTTCATACAAGTTAACATCATCGAGTAGAGCTCTGACATATAACCTCGAATAGGTCATACAACCTTGGTGGATTCTCTCGACCTCTTCCACACATATTAACATCATCGAGCAATGCTCTAACATATAACCTTAGATAGGTCATTCATCCTTGGTGGATTCTCTCTACCTCTTCCATACATGTTAACATCATCGAGCAACGCTCTGACATACAACCTCAGATAGTTCATACATCATTGATGGATTCTCCCGACCTCTTTCACATAGGTTAACGTCATCGAGCAACGCTCTGACATACAACCTCGGATAGGTCATATATCCTTGGTGGATTCTCTCTACCTCTTCCACATAGGTTATATTATGGAGCAACGCTCTGACATACAACCTAGGATAGGTCATACATCTTTGATGGATTCTCTCAACCTCTTTCACACAGTTTAACATCATTGAGTAGGGCTTTGATATATAATATCAGATAGGCTATATATCTTTGATGGATTCTCTCGACCTCTTTAACACAGGTTAATGTTATATATCGAAAAAGGCTTTAACTTATAACATCTGATGGGTCATATATCTTTGGCAGATTCTACGCTTTACTACCTATCGATGAACTTTCGTTGGACTTCTACCTGATGACAAATTTATACCCATCATCGGACTTATGCCTATCATCAGATTCTTACTTGATGCCAAATTTCTAGCTGACACCGGGCTTCTGCTGGTCACCAGCCTTTCGACGAACTTTTACCCGATGCCAAACTCCTGCCAGTCAACAAACTTTTGTCGGACTTCTACCCAACGTCGAATTTCTACCCATCATCAAATTTTTACTTGATACCAAATTTCTACCCATCGTTGAATTTCTGTCAATCGTTGGACTTCTACTCGACACTGGACTCATGCCCATTGTTAGACTTTTGATGGACTTTTATCCGACGCCAAACTTCTGCCCGTTGACGAACTTTCATTGGGCTTCTACCCGATGCAAAAATTTTACCCATCATCCGACTTTCATTGGGCTTTTACCTGACATTTTATTTATACCCATCACCTGACATTCGTTGGGCTTCTCCCCACTGTTAAATTTTAACTCATCTTCGGACTGCTTTTCGACGTCATAATTTTGTCCGTTGCCAAACTTCCACTGACTAACATCGGACCTCTGTAGGATCCCTCAATGAATAAAGGGAAAATTCATATTAAGTGTGGGGCCTTAGACCTAGACAAGGGATATCACCTGAACACGACTAAGGGAATGCCTCATCATGAGGGAGAGATTAAAAAGGAGGAGAAGTCTCTTACTCGGTGAGGGCCCTAGGCTTGGATGGGGAATACCATCCTTACATAGAAAGGGGAAGGCCTCAGCCTGAGAAGTAGGAGGAAAAATCCCTTCTTGTAGAGAGAGGCCCTAAACTTGGACAGGGGATGCGACCTGTGAAGGGCCCGGGGGAAGGCCTCAAGTGAAAGAAGAGAGGAAGAGAGAGAGGTGCAGAATTTCATACCCCTTAGAGGGATATTTATAGCAGGAGGAGGAGTTTTGAAAAGTTGGAGAAGTTGGGTTGAAAAAAAAAGATAAAAAAAATATTATATAAGAGGGCAACTGATACATCATCAAAACATTATCTTGATCAAGCACGAATATCAATACAAAATCAAGTTGGAAACTTCTAAAATTAGAATTTGGACCATCTGAACTTTGATTTCAGCAAACTTACAGTCAAATAGAACGTCTCAAGAATATGAACCCAATGTCACCAAATCCAACCCAATCTGAGCCCAAATGGGTCCAAATTAAGGGTTAGAAGCATTGTTGGAAGGTTCGAACCACAATTTGGATTACCAAATGGTTTCCAAATATAACATGTTTATAGTCAACATCGCTCATCCATCCAACCACTCCCCATTTGCCTTTGATCTCTCACCTATTTACAGGATATGCCACTCCAAAAATTTATAAATAGAGCCCCCTTTTCTCTTGAAAAGGGACCCCAAGCCAAAGGATTCAAGAGAGAGATCGAAGATCACTCTTGCATCATTTCTTCTCCTAGACCACTACCTGAGTTTTGCTAAACCACCGCTTGACGTCATCGCTACGCTGGACCACCACTTGAGGCTCTTACCTCTACCGGACCACCACTTGAGGCCCTCACCCCCACCATACTACCACTTAAGGCACGGAGCTCCGCCAGACCACCACTTGAGGCCCTCAACTCTACCGGAACACCACTTAAGGCTCTGATCTCCACCGGACCACCACCTAAGTCCCAGACTTCTGCCTGACCACCACCTAAGGCAAGAAGTTCTACTAGACTGCCACCTGATGCCCAGAGTTCTGCTAGACCACCACTTGAGGCCCAGACTTCTGTCAGACCACCACCTGACGCTCGAAGTTCTGCCGGACCACCACCTGAAGCCTAAACTTCTGCTGGACCACCACCTAACTCCCGGATTTCCACCGGACCACTAACTAAGGCTTGGACATCCGTCAGACCAACACTTGAGACTCGGTCTTCTGCCGGACCACCACCTGATGCCCAAACTTTTTTCGGACCGCCACTTGAGGCTCAAACTTCCACCAAACCATAATCAAGGACTAGACTTATGTCGGACCACCACTTGAGGCCTAGACTTCTGACGAATCACCACCTGAGGACCAAACTTCTGCTGGACCACCACCTGAGGCCCAAAGTTCTGCCAGACCACCACCTGAGGCTCAAACTTGTGTCGGACCACCACCATGTGGGCTCTAAAAATTCAGCCCCAGCCTATATCCGCTTTGTTGCTTTTTTTTCTTCGGAGGAGTTTTAGCATAATTAAGTTCTGGGATAAATTTTAGGAAGGCAGATAGGTTTGTATATTAGACATTACTCTGATATTTCACCCTCATTTTGCGAGGAATTTATGATCTGAGTTCTAGTTTCCTATAGGCGCAAGCCCCTATAGTTAATTACTTTTTTCAATAATGAGAGAGAACTTTTGATTAGGGCTTGTTGTTAATAAGATACATATAATTACATGTTATTTGGCATATAGTAGCATCATGGGTTTGGATTTAGAAAAGCTCAAGATTAGATATTTAAAATTAGAAATTTCACCATCTTGCACTTAAAGTAGATGGTGAGGGAATGGATGATAGACCCGATCAAGCTCCCATGGTTCCATCATCTCAGGCCATCATGGTCCCTGGTCTATTTAGTTAGAGGAGGTAGTCAACCCAATCTGACAGAAGGATCCTTGTTGGCAGCCATGGGTTGATTCATCTAAGAGTACCTTGTAGACCTAGGGTGAATATTTATTTAAGGGGATAAATTTGAATCCATCTTAGCTAACAGAAAGATTTGTGCTCTATCTATCATATCTTATTAATGAACGTATTGGATTCTATCAAATCATTAAGAATAACAGAGATACGAGCATTATCCAGGGAAAAATCCAGAATGTTGTGCATTCCAACAGTATCTTGGAGAAGAGCCCCATTGCACCAATGATCCCAGTATAAAGATATGGGGGCCATGCTAGAAGGAATAAAAAAGAATTTATCCTTAGCCATATTAGTACATTACAAAGTTTCTTCCAGAATTTGGTGGATTTCACAGTTGGAGGTTTCCAAGGAGAAACATACTTATGAAAGAACCAAGTAGAGAGGGGGCTGCTGTGATTATAAAGTCTCTTTATAAGGGTGCAATTAAAACAGAATTGCAAAGAGTGCAGAGACGGAAATCCAAGGCCCCCATAAGCTTTAGGTTTACAAGTATCCTTCCAAGATATAATATGTATTTTACAGGCGGAAGAAACCCCAAAATAAAGAAATTTAGCACACTACTTCTCGATTTTCTTTAGGTTTACAGGCGGAGAATATCTCCCACCTCTTTTTTGAGTGTGATTTCTCCTATTGGGTGATCTCTAAGGTTATTCCCAGTATGACCCATCAGCTGTTTAGGCCAAATATTTTGCAAGCCTTTGAATGCTTTAGTAGTATACAAGGTAATTTAAAGCCATTTTACTATCTCATTATCTGTTGTGCTATTTACCATCTCTGGAGGGAAAGAAATGATGGGAAGTTTGGCAAAGCATTTGCATCATCTACTACCTTAAGCCACAAAATTAAAAGTGCAGTTTTTTCTAAGTTGCTGAAATGGAAAAATGGGTATGCATTGTTGGATTTGCTTTGAAAGGAAAGTTGCTGGGGGTTGTTTTTTTGGGGAAATTCTTCCCCAGTATTATCTGTGGTTGGCTTTTTGGATGGAAACGCCGCTTCTGTGCTATTGGTGCAGGTATCTTTGAGCCTGCTGGATCTTCCCGATTTTATCCTAGATGGCCTTTGTGGCAACCAGGAAAGCTGCTTCGGTCCCTAGGGGTATTTTTTGAGGACGATGATGATTGCTGCTGGACTTTTCTCCCCTTGGAGGGTCGTTTTGGCAACCAGGGGTTATTTCAAGCGTCACTCTCGCGTAGCTACAGTGAATCCATTCGGTGCTTCTGCTCGGTCAGCAGCCTCAGTCCTAGATGCTTTGTATCTCTACCACATTTTGGTTCTTCATAGGAATTTTTTGGACGTATTGGGTGGTATAGTTGTGGTTTTTTATTACTTGCCCACATAAGCTTTTGTTGTCACTTATGATGGGTGGTTTTTTCTTTTCCTTTTTACTTGTAATGTTCCTTATATTCAGTAATAGATGGGCTTATGCCTCAAAATTTCCCGGAAAAAAAAAAATAAAAATAAAAAAAATAAATAATAAAGGTAATACGAAATCCTGCTGATATCATCTGCTAAATAGCAGGTTCTTAGGAGGTTTTCATGGCAGCAGATGCGAAGAGATTAGGTGCAGCTCGGAGCAGGGAGGAGGCGTGGAATTGACGTCAAACCTTGGATTTAGCTATAGCAAGAAGTAAAACCGGCTGCAGCAAGTGGAGAATCGCACGGATCGTGAAGGCCAGCTGAAGAACGGATAGGGAGATTCGTTCCTCGATCGACTGGGTTGGAGTTCGTGGGCTCCGTGGGCTGTGAGAGGAAGAGCAGGCGGTTTAGACTTGTAGCAGTCGGGATTGTAAGGAGAGTGAGGTCGACGGAGAAGCTCTAGTCTATGAGGATAAGTGGTTTTGACTGAAGAGTTACGGGAAGGAAAACCGGAAGAGGCGTTGGCTTTAGCAGGACGTCGTTTTAAAGTTGGAAGTCGAAGAAGAACCGTAAGAAACTGCGTGAGCTGCAATTTTAACGGGAGAAATTTAAGCTCAATCGAAATAGAATCGTGTCATAGAGCTGACAGAAGCAGATCAGAGCGGCTACAGCAGCGTGATTCACGGGATTACATCGGAGATTTGCAGAACTTCCACAAAGCCGAGGTAATCAGCTGTTAATGAGATCTGAAAAATCTTTTTGCTTGACTTTGATATGATTTCTCCTTAATTTTATTAAATTAACTCTAATAATAATATGAGAGATATATTATTATCAATAATTTTCCTAAAATGATAATAGTCCTCCCATGAATTAAAATTTTTTAGGCAATTGACTCCTAGCTTGCAAAGATCATTCAAATTCTTCAGCTCACCAATTCTATAACCATTCTTATTCCTAAAAAGAAAGGTTCTCGAAAAGACTTTAGCATCTCATAAGAAGCAATACAAAGTTTAAACAGGCATCTAAGAAAATGCAATAGCTACATGAAAGTTTCAAACAGTTAACTCTCACCTTGAAATTAGACTACCATCAGTGTCAGCTTAAAGTCATGACCAAATTTTAAGAATGAGCTCGCTATTTTTTAAAATTAGCTTAAGAAGCATACTAAAAAAATAATTTAAAACAGAGCAAAATCGCCAAATATTTTGGCGGATTTCAAATATGCTAAATCAATTGGCTTAATCTAAATGCAATTTATGGTTTAGCTTATTCAACTCAAAATACATAATATAATATAAAAATAGAGAGAGAGAGGGAGGGAGGGAGAGAGAGAGAAACGGGAAGAGAGACAGAGCCACAGTATAAGTAAGAGAGATGAGGAGATATCAATTTTTTACACAATGCTATATGAATATATTTTAAATATTTTTTAATTATTATTTAAATTTTAGTAATTTAATTAATTAAATAATTTTTAAAAATAATTATATATATATATATATATATATTAAATTATATGCTAAATCATAAAGTGCATTCAGATTAAGCCAATTGATTTAGCGTATTTAGAATGCGCCAAAATATTTGATGATTTTGCTCCATTTTAAATTAATTTTTTAGTACACTCCTTAGGCTTAATTTAAAAAACAACGAGCTCCTTCTTAAAATTTGACCTAAAGTCACTCGCGATCACAAATTATGGTTCCAGTAATGTTCACAGAAACATGTTTATCTCCAATTCCTTTCTTATTAGCCTTCATAGGATGAGATGCCAGAGCTCTAACACCTATATCACATCCATTGATCTCATTAACATTCCTGATGCAGCCGTTGACGACTATACCAAACCACCCATTGTTGTGAGCTTGTTGAATCGGATTGCCACCTAATATGGCACGCCGCATGCTTCCACCACCATCTACAACTAAGACACTGCCATTTTCTTTCTCTTCAAGAAACTCACGCACAAGAACATTGTCCTAAAAAACCTTAAGAGTCACAACTTGACTAGAGAAAACGTGTCTCCTTCCATAGATTTGGAAGGTTGGATGAAGTGCACGAAGTTCACCATTCAAGATCAAGTGTGGATTTGCATCACATAATTCAGCAGTTGCCAAAATCTTTTATGCCACGCTTAGGTTTTGCACATACTAATAATTGAGCTACAATTTCTTTTTTTTTTTTAATTGAGCTACATTTTCTTTATCATGACTTGTAAGTCCACTTACTTTGGAAGAATCTTTCTCTGTATTATTGAGAGATTGGAGCTTTCACGTCTCAGGCCATCTACTAGAAACTTGAACTTGATAGTAAAGTAGAATGGAAAACCAAGCCTTCACAGATTGGAAAGGCAAGCCTATTAACAAAACAAAGCATGGGGGAGCCAAAGCAACTTACTTCATCCATTGTAAGTAAATAACTATGTCCCTCTATCTCTTTTTGTCTCTTAATCCTAATTTCGAAGGCTTAGCTTCTTCTATATATTTTTGTAGTTCTGGTGCTGGCCACCAACATCGTTTATATACCGAATATGCTGAATTTGGTGACCTATCTTCATGACCGGATGCATGCTGATATTGCAAGCTCTTCAACTATGGTCACTAACTTCGTTGGGGCTACATGTGCATTTGCTTTGCTGGGAGGATTCCTGTCTGACTCTTATATCTCTAGATTTAAAACTATGCTAATATTTGGTCCTATTGAATTCTTGGTAACCTTCTCTTATCTCAAATATATATATATATCTTCTTCAAGTGGGGAGGCTTGCTTTGTATGTTATTATGGTGATTAACATGTGGCTGCAGTTCTTGTTGTTCTAGCTGGTATATTCTAGGCATTCCAAAGCATTAAAGAACTTGTATTTGTGGAAGATTAAAGTTTAGGATTAAAATTTGAAGAATGAAAAGTATGTTGGAAGGTAGATGAAACTTGGTTTAGAATTTGATTCTATGTTCTAAATAATGATTAGATAATATGTAAATTTTAGTTATTTTTCTCTGTCACATGAAGTCCCAAATTTCTGATATTAATTTGATTAAGGTTTTGTTTGGGACGGCTTCCTTATTGCTTCTTAAAACAGTTTTCTATTACAAAAATTTAATAAGCCGTCACAAATAAAGCCTAAATATACATCGTTGCGTCAACTTTTTTGCTGAAATTGCATTTCTCTAAATGAACTGTATTTGTCATAACTCAAAACATTTTGCAGGGATTAGCATCACTTGCGTTGCAAGCACACTTACCTTCTCTTCAACCCCCAAAATGTGATACTGTCAACGAATGGAACAGTTGTAAAAAGATGTCTAATCTTGATGCTTCCATTCTTTATTTATCCTTATACACCGTGGCTTTAGGAGAAGGTTGTCTTCGTTCCTCCATGGCATCTTTTGGAGGAGATCAATTTGATGAGAATGGCCCCATAGAGTCTCAACAAAAGTCCAGTTTTTTTAATTGGTATACTTTTGACATATCTTTGGGAGGTTTATTAGGATTAATTTTCATAGTCTGGATTGAGAATAACAAGGGATGGGATTATGGATTTGGTGTTTCTGCCCTTGTTATTCTCTTTGGACTGGTTTCAGTAGCCAGTGGCTTCTCCTTTTATAGAATTCAGAGACCAAGAGGAAGTCCTCTTACTCGACTATTACAGGTGAGAAAAAAAAATCTACAATTATATTTTTCTGTTTTTCTATAGTCATGGGTATGTTATTTATTTAAAATATATTTGGTTTGGAATAATATACTTCTTAAGGTTATAGTGGCTGCATTCAAAAAGAGAAAGCTTAGTCTTCCTGAAAATACTGATGATTTGCACCAACTGGATATCAAGGAAGAGACTTTCGGCATGGAGGTTCTCTCTCACACAAGTGGTCTCGAGTAAGTTGACATGACAGTTTATTGCTGAGCTAAAAGAGACTTTTAAATTACGCCTTCAAAATTTCTCCAAAGTTTCTAAAATGAGAGAAAAGGGAATTATGATTTCATAAAATATGTCTTCCATCTATTTGGTTGCTTCTAGGAGGAAAGTGTAATTTTTCAAAACATTATTTCCAACTTGAAGCAAATAAATGAGTCCTAATAAAAGAACAAAAGTTACTCAACTATTGGCAAAACCATGATATAAAACAACATGATGACTATAAATTTAAAATTCTACCTACTTATTCTTTCTAGATTCCTCGACAAAGCAGCTATATCTCATGGCAGTGCAGGAGCATGGTCATTATCCACAGTGAGCCAAGTTGAAGAAACAAAGATTATAATTCGAATGCTTCCGATCTTCCTGAGCTCCCTTTCATGCTATTTATGTGTTCCCCTTTTACTTACATTCACAGTACAACAAGGCAACACCATGAACACCAAGCTCGGGAAAATACATTTTTCTCCAGCTTCTTTAATGATCATTCCACAAACCTTTCAGATAATATTCTTGGTACTTTATGACACCTTATTTGTTCCATTTGCAAGGAAATTTACAGGTTATAGAAATGGTATAACTCAACTACAAAGAATTTCTGTTGGTTTTATATCAATATCTTTTGCAATGTGTGTTGCTGCTTTAGTCGAAAGGAAGAGAAAGAGAGTTGCAGAACTAAATGGTCTCATAGATTCTAGCACAGAAGTGCCCATTTCTGTGTTCTGGTTAGGAGCTCAATTATTTTTCATAGGCATTTCAGACGTTACTTCTTTCGTTGGATTACTTGAATTCTTCGTCGAAGAGGCATCAATGGGAATGAAATCAATGGGAACAGCTATATTCTATTGTTTGATTGGATTGTCCTCACTGCTTGCCACATTTGTTGTTGAAGTTGTTAATAAAGCTACTAGAAATGGGGAAGAAGGGATGGGATGGCTAGATGGCAATAATTTGAATAAGAGTCATCTTGATAATTTCTACTGGTTGCTCTCTATAATAGGGTTTATGGGACTTATCAACTATCTTTATTGGGCTAAAAAATATGTATATAGGCATGATCTTCGTATTCAAAGTTTAAATTGATAGTGATGTTGATTTTGTATGTCCATCTATGAATTTTCAGTTAAGTGAATAAATTTTTGTACGTTGCTTAGGCTTGAAACAAGTTTGTTTTACAACGTAATGATGCATTGGCCAAGTGCCTAGGCGCTTCTGCAATTCCTTGCTCCAGTGCAATAAAATAGATTGGTTTTTGGCCTTGTTTATTTTCTCATTACTTGTATTTGTAATTACCTCTTATAGTTGATGCAATATATGCAAAATTTCAAGGGATGGTTGGGCTTCGGCGATGGTGCCGGCGAGGGGCGGCCGGTGGTGGTGGTCGTTGGCTAGAAATCGGCAGTCTGCAGCTGTGGCAATGGCAATGTGTTTGTAGTGTATTTGGAAATCGCCCAAATCGGAGAAATTCCAAATACACTCAAGGGATGTTTGGTTACCTAAAGAAAGAATGCAGTAAAAAATGAATACTTTAGAATTATTTGGATGAATGTAAAGTAAATGCATGACTTTACTTTTTATTGTTTAGTATGAAGCAAAGTAAATGTAATGTAAATTGCTTATTCATTGAAAGTGTTCATCTCATTCTTTTATTTTATTTTATTTTTTCATTTTATATTCACAATCAAAATATTTTTTTTCACTCTATTTTTTTATTTGGAGAAGATTTGGAGGTTTTTTCTTATTTTTATATTAAATGAGGGCATGGCAAAGTCAATCAAAGTCATTGATATACTTGTTGAAGATTAGTGGTAAGGGAACCAATTGACCATGCCCTCGGAAGCAGGACACCGTTGATAGTCCTCTACCCCTTGCAAGCTTATTTTTTATTATGATAAACTAAATATTATCTATCACTAAGTATAGAGGCGGAACCAGCCTTAATTTTTAGGGGTGGTGGCGGATAAGTAATTGTTGGTGTTATCTCGAATTTGACTATACCCTTCACTACAAGAAAATGGGTCCATAGAGACCAAAAACTTATAGACAAAAAGAAAATGATTGCTAAAGATATATTTTAGCTACCAAAAGTAACTAAGGCCTCTAAATAATAAGGAAATTTAATATTAGCCACCAAAAAGAAAAAAAATGGCTTATAATTTTGTCGCTAATAGTGTATAGAATTCTTTTTTCCTATTTGTTCATATCCTTGATCGTCGTGGTCTTAGTAGATATTTCAGGGGGTCCAAAGGGGCAGCGCCCCCTGGCAGGTTCGCGTGATCAAGGGGCAATGCCCCTGCGGAGCTTTCCTAGGGAGGGCTGCACCCCCCAGAAAAAATTTTAGTTGTAAGAATATTTTTGGAATTCAAGTTAATAAATAAAATGATGAACCGTCTTTACTATTTCTCTTTGTATTTGGTTCATAGTTCCCTAATAATAACACCTCTACATAAAGTGATGGGCAATTGCATAACAATCCTTATAATAAAGACTAATTAAGTAAATATTCACTGAAAATGATTGTAAATTTGCAAAACCACAAGTCATTCTCAGATCTAAGGGATATTATTGATCCACTTAGGTAAAGTGCTAATTCAAATTAGATGCAAATATATAAACTTCAATATGAAATTATTATAGAAATATCAATAAAAAGATAAGTAGGACTTGTGCTGCTTGCAGTTCCTGGTGATTTGTAGCTTTGTGTTTAGTGCTCTTGATAATGAGAAAATAAATAATATATTTGGAATTTGATTTGTGAGAATTAATTAGTTTTGCATAATGATTTATTAGTTTGCAATATTGTGTTGAAATTCTTTAATATTTTCAATCATTACATCATCAATTTGTCTTAAATATCTATCTATCAATACATCAAATGCTGAAGCATTCACAAAATAAATTAGCTTCAGAACTGAAGCATAAGCATGTATTTCAAGATCAAAGCAGGTCTGCTTTAGCATAATTAGATCAAAATTTTCAGTCTTAATCTACAGCAGATTTTATCCCTTATAAACCATGTAACCATTTCTATATTATATCTTCTCAGAGTTTTGCATGATTGAAAGGAAACTCTCTATCTCTATTGGTTAATGTTATTCCTACATAAATGTGATGTTAATGGATAAGGTTGAGAAAAATCTGATGACAGTGCCATTTCTTTGGCGTTTTTATGCACTGTTCAAATGAAAATTTAAAGAAAAATTGATGAATTGGCAGTCATCATATTATAAAGACTGTCATTATATTAGCTTTCTTCGTAATTATATTAAGAAAGTTAATTGAAACTTTTATATTAACTATGTTAATAGAGACTTAGACAACATGAAGTGAGCGTATGTTTACAAAATTAATATAAATTGTAGTGATCATATAAATTCAGTTCTTATATAAATTGATAAATAAAAGTAATAAACATCCAATCTAAATCATGAAATTTGTTTCCAATTGCATACTATCATATATTCAACTTCTCTTGATACAATAAATTAAGATTAAAACTAAAATGCTAATTTTTAACATAAATATTTAGTCTTATTATTTTATTTATTATTTAATATATAATAATAACATCCACTTTATTCATAATAATTCTTTTTAGAACTTCTAAGAACTGCTGGTACATTTTCCAAAGAACTTCATGAAAATGATCAATGACTGCTGATGGGAAAGTAAATTTGAGCCTAAGTCCTGCATCATAAAACAACTAGATGTTGCAGAGAAAATTAAAAAAAAAAATTGAAGAAAACTTTCCATGGTACAATCGATTTGCTATTGGATGGAGAAATTATTCTGTGCGGACTGTAGATGTAGCTCTACATCCAAACTCCAATTAAATTAAATACGTGAATTTTTTAAGAGTCGATGACACGACCCCCGCCCAGCTATGAAAATTTTAAAATCGAGGCATTCAACTCATTTTTTATGTTTTTAATAAAGAGATCCGTGAAAGCTCTCAAATATTTAGGGTTTTGGTAGAATAGAACTTTTGGTGCTTGTTGAGTAAAAAAAAAAGAGAAACATGCAATGAAGATGGAGATTAGTTTGGAGAACTTCGCATTCTTTATAAATCCATTATGAAAGAAGAAAAAACTTAAGAATAAGATGTATTTTACTTACCTAATAATTTCTTTTCAATGTACATTTTGAGGCAATATACGTTTTGTTGAGCTTACTTTTTTAACAGAGAAATATGTCATAAAGGTAAATATAACGGATTTGTGTTCACCTTCAAGGCATATCAAGTTCTCAAACAAGCCCAAATACTTCAACGAGAAATTTATAAACTAGGATGCAATGGTTTATGTGTTTTTTGTGATGTTTCACATACATTCACTTATAATGTATTCTTAAAAAATTTATATATCGAATGTCGCGGAAACCCATGCTTCTTGAAATCAACTATGTAAAATTATAAATTTGTTTATGTTTATTTATTCTATCAGATGTAATTATTATGCATTTTTTATCTTTCGTTTATGTGATATTTTGATCATGTTTACTAATGTGTACCGTTGCGTACTGCTGCGTACGGTTGTGTAAAATGTACTATGCTTTGCTAGATTTTGATGTGCATTTATGTGTATTCAAGTTTCTATACTTCACTAATATTGTATTTATTTTTTAAAAACTTTTTGAGCTTTTATATAGCTGTGTATTAGGGAAACTGTGTTGGAAAATGTGATTTTTTTTTTATATGTATTGATAGGTATTTTTTTACCCGTAAAAACACGTCTTCGAAAATATGATTTCTATAATGCACCAACTACTTACTAAGTACCTATAAAAACACATGCAAATATGATTAGAGCTTGTTGTCACTACAAACATTATACTTATTGCTAAAAAAACCAGAAGCTTTATATACTTCAATGAAAGTCAGTTCATCTTCATGCACTGTGCTATGCCATATCTGTTTATAAAACCGTTCCAAACTGTGAACCATGTCGCCCATTACAAAGAACCCCAATTGAAGGGTTCTATTTGGCTGGTGATTACACAAAGCAGAAGAATATGGAAGGTGCTGTTTTATTTGGTAAACTTTGTGCACAGACAATTTTATAGGTATGTACATAAATTGGAACTTTGATCTTATCCTTTTCAAACTCAGTTGTAACTTTCTAATGTAGATGCTGCATACAATATTCTCAAGAAATTATGACATGCAATACTTGAAAAAAATGGAGGATGAATAATGAACCATAAAGTCGATCCAAATTGTTTGGATAAGGTTAATAATGATGACACTAACAATACATAGTGCATTTTACACTATGGTAGCGATACACAACAGTACACAGCGATACACAACGGTATACAGTGGCACACAAAAGAACACAACATCAAAATGAATAAAATATCACATAAATGAAAGAGAAAACATGCAGCATAATTACATCTGAGAGAATAAATAAACGTTCAAAAAATTATCATTTTACATAAAATTTTACATAGTTGAATTACATAAGCATGCATTTTTGCAGCATTTGACATATAATTTTTTTAAGAATACATTCTAAGTAAATGTGTGTGAAACATCACAAAAAACACATAAACCATTATTACCCAGTTTATAAATTCATCATTGAAGTATTTGGGCTTGTTTGAGAACTTAATATTCCTTGAAAGTGAATACAGCTCCATTGTATTTGCATTTATGACATATTTCTCTGTTAAAAAATTAAGATACGTAAAATGTATATTGCCTCATAATATGCAGTGAAAAGAAATTATTAGGTAAATAAAATACACCTTATTCTTAAGCTTTTTCTTCTTTTCTAATGTCTTTACTGATAATGTGAAATCCTCCAAACCAATCTCTATCTTCATCGCATGTTTCTCTTTTTTTTCTCAACAAGTACCAAAAGTTTTATTTTGCAAAAAAAAAAAATTAAATATTTGAGAGATTTAGCGGGTCTCTTTTTTAAAAACATAAAAAATGGGTGGGTTGCCTCAATTTTAAAATTTTTATAGCTAGGTCGGGTCGGATCATCGGGTCTTAAGAAATCCACGTGTCTTAATTTAATTGGAGTCCAAACATAGAGCTACGTCCGGAGTCCACACAGAATAATTTCTCACTCTCCAGTATGGCTTCCGTTCCCTCGCCCTTGCTCCCGATCTCTACCCCAACCTCTGACCTCAAGCCCATCGGCCGCCAAGTCCCTTCAAAACTCCAGCACGAGCCACTTGGCCTGCTATCAGCCTTAAACCCCATCCGAACG